ATATACACCAATATATATATGCTTGAATAAATATGTAATCTTACAAATTAAATCCAATATGGAATTGTATCCAAGCAACAACCCTTCCAACAAATTTAATTGCTCCGTAAGATTTACCAAAACATCCTTTCATCTGTGAAAGATGAAAATACCCTTACTCATTATCTTCTTTAAAATGCATTTTAAGTATGTGACCTGTAGGCTCCTCATCTTATTGAAAAGTGTCTGATATCGCGATCAATCACCCTATTAATTGTCTCATTGCACACATACCTAGATTGGCCTCTAGTAAGGCATCATGGCCACCCAACAGATTTGAATTTAGCGAATTTGCTACCTGTCAATAGTATGGTTACCGTGCAATTCAATCCTTTCATAATCTATTATCTCATCAAGGTTTGAAGCATAGAAATAATGTCAGCTTCAAGTATGAGGCACCTTGACATATTCATATTCAATTATCGGATCAATCGACAAAACGAGCAACAACTCAATTCCACTGTGGCCACTGATTTAAGGCCATTGTCTCTTACCGAATATCTCACCGCAATAATTTCTCTTGTGCCTAGGAGTGACGAATCCTTTGTCGATCCACCATAGCCATAGTGTACTTCTCAATTTAGCCAGCCACTATTATACTGATAACACTAAATAGAATTATGTTTGGCTAGTGTCAAACTACACCAATATTTACACACTGCACTCTGATGATCTCAAGTCTAAGGATAACATGCACCACCATCTGTTAAAAGATGTATTCCATAAATATTGGGGTTACCATTTATATGGAATCCTCTATATGGGCCAATCCAGTGAACTCGTAACAAGCACCCATGTGTCGCACCAAGTTGTCACCAAACAAGCTTGACATGTGAGATCTATTACTACCTTCTGGTAGAGTCGTTCAATGCTATGATAGTCTTACCGTATTATTTGTGCCATAGGTCAGAATAATACTAGAGCTATGGATGTTTTCAGAATGACCACCTAATGTGATCGTAGGGATTTCACAATCAACCCTTATCACTAGTTGATTCTCTCGTCATGGTTCAACCACTCTAAGGACATATATTATCACAAAAAGGACATATATTATCACATATATTTGGAATATCATTTACATAATATAAACGATGCCTTTTATTAGATAGAATAGCATGATTTGTAGAGTCAATATACAATGTATGATTGGTTCTAGGGCACCTACTCTAACACTTTTTACTTTTACAAATTGATTGCCAATAGTAACAACAGCAACAACAGGAGGTTTTGATGCCTTGACAAATATGAGCACACCAAACATGGATGTGCTCGCACTTGGAGTGAATCCCAAACCGAATCTATCTCCAAAAATCATTTCTTGACCAAGCACTTCATTAAGCTTGTATGAACTTGCATTTAACCTTCCAACAATGGCCTTAGCCTCAATTAGTTCTTTCAAAGCTTGACTTAACAAAAACTCTTTGTTGGTTAGATCAAAAGACAAGGTTATCACTTTATCTGACAAATTTTTTTTGTCATCCAACAAAGTTGATTTTTCGGCTTCAAGAGATTTTAACTTCTTGATTTCCTTTAGCCACTAATCATACATCTTATCATACGCTCTTTGTTGCTCTTCATAAACATCACTACAATCATCTGAAGAAACACTATCACTATCCTCTTGATTAACCATAAATGCAAAGAAATTCTCACTCTCATCAGGCTCATCTTCCTCACTCTCATTCTCTTCCTTATCACTATTACTTAGGGTAGTAGCTATCGCTTTACCCTTTCTCTTCGAAGTATTGGGACACTCAACTTGGATGTGTCTATGTCCCTCACACTCAAAAAACTTAATGCCTTTGTTCTTCTTTTCATTTTCTTTTGAAAACTTTTTCAAAAAAGCACCAGGACTAGAATGGTCAAAAAAGTTTTTCACAAAAGGTTGTTGCCTTTTCTAGCCACATTTGGCCTTTTCATGTTCTTTTTAAAAAAATTTGGCAAAGTTTTTCGTGAATAAGGCACACTTATCATCATCTGAATCACTTACATCAACATTTTCAAAGGGATTAGGAATTACCTCATGTTTTAAAGTAAGAGCTTTTACCTGATTTCTTGTCCCAGCTTTTCAAATTGAGTTCAAAAGTTTGCAAATATCTAATCAACTCATCCAATTGCACGACACCCAGATCTCGACATTTTTCAATGGAGGTCACCTTTGACATAAATCTCTTGGGCAATGAGCATAAGACTTCCTGACAAGTTCAACATTAGTATAGACTTTCCTAAAGCATAACACTCATTAGAAACATCACAATTCCTACCATGAAAGTTAGTGCTTCTTTCATTTTCATGCATAGTCAAATTCTCATAGTCAATAACCAATCTCCTAAGCTTGGTTTTCTTAACAGTGTTTATACGTTCATTTTTGGCTTGGAGTTTATCATATGGATCTTTAACAATCTCAAAGTTAGCAATGATTTTCATATGATTTACACAAACAACATTAAAGATGGCATGAATGGCTTTTGAGTTAAAATTAGCAAGATCTAATTCAGCCTTGGTCCATTCTTGTATTGGTTTTGGTTTGGTCACCTCTTCTTCAACAACTACGGGTTCTTTCCAATCACTCACAACCAACATCCATACCCTCTCATCTATAGACTTTAGGAAGGTACGTATCCTAGGTTTCCAATAAGGATAGTTGGGCCCCTCTAACATGGGTGGTCTGTTAGTAAACCCTCATTCACTAAAGAAGTTTATGATAAACACACTGCAGATGTTGGCACAAACAAAACAGATGTGGTCACACACACACTAGCAAGGCAGATGTGGAAACACACTAAATAGATGTTGACACACATGCTGAATCGAGAAATTTGCTCAAAAACGTACAAAAGATAATGGATGCAACATACGCTAAAACAAAGCACAAGCACAATCAACAAGTATGGATCTACTGAAATGACTCTTTAGAATAGGCTTTGATACCAAATGAAAGTTTCTTTAACTATAACTATTTACCAAGTTGTAATCAAATGTGAAATAAGTATTGATTGTGTTAACGTTCATTGGTGCTTGTGGGTATGGTTATTAAACATATTCATCATATCAACTATAAGCATAAAATGCACACAAGCATATTTACATGGTTCGACCAATAACCTACATCCATGGGACCAAGTCCAAAAGAAGCAAATCCACTATAGCAAACATTCAAAGTTCATTACAAAGTTGAAGTTAAGCTAAACGATGTAAAACACTGCCTGTTTTCATACACTCTAACTTCACCTTTTGGATGATCCACCATCTTGTCACAGCTTGCTTGAATCCAAGATACCTCTTAGATAGCTTGAGCTCCACTCAAGCTTCAACATCAAAGCTAGCCTTTAGCTCCACAGCTTGAAATCCCTTTAAGCTTTCATCAATGGAACCATATTCCAACAAACTCAAACAACTAAGATTAGCAATGTATTTTGAGCATTCAAAAACATAAAGAACCTAACCTAAAATGAATAAACTCTATAAGGAATTTTAGAGAACAAATAAGAGAGAATTCAAGTTCAAACATAAATGCAAGGATGAAGAAAATTATAAAGAATCCTTGCGCAAGAAACCCTTAGAAAGCCAACTAACAAAACCTTACACATGTTTGGCTATTTTAGGAAAGTTTTCACCAACTTGTTAAGACTATTTCTGAAAAGAAAAACAAATTTCCAAGACCACATCTAAAATATTTGACACTTGTATTTGGACTACTTATGCATATTTTAATCCTTAATAAAATCTTAACAACCAGTGAAAACTCGACATTTGTACTAAGGTCTGATTAGACGACTGTTTACACATTTGACTTTAATGTGTCAACACATTTTGCGATAAAACCAGATTAAAGAAATGTGAACACATCTATACAGAATGTCATGATATGTGTAAACTACAGATACGATTGAGCTTAACCAAATGACTATGCAAACATCAATAATAAATGTGCACATGTGACTTCATAAGTTGACAAAAACACTTGCACAAAGAATAAGGACTTTTGTTTATTCATGAGGGCTTTAGATAAGTTTCAATAAAAAGAAATCACAAGGAGGTACTGTTGTTAGAGATCACAATTATAATTTAAGATACAGTTTAAATATTATTTTATTATATTTATTATGGTGATTCCAATTGTTGACGAGGATAATAGGTAAAAAATTTCATCGTGATTCTCGTGACTTATCTCTTGAAGATAGAATACAATTAGGATTGGTCGACATATCCTATTTCTTGCAAAATATCAAAGATAAATATTAGGATAATCTTATAGCCATAATGATTTCTAAAAACGACAATCTTACAATTCTTTTTAATTTCCTTCTTTTTAAGTCTACCAAACAAATATTGATGTTGAATACAGAGAATTATTTATTAGTAAGTAAAACTTTATGGTAAATTCATGGTATTGTAAACTTTTCCGTTTTAATCTATCCAACTTTCTTTTTTGGATTTTTCGTATTATGAGAAGTAACAAAAAGGTTGTTTTACTTAACCATTTAAAGTGATATATGACATCATTAATGAATTTTTTATATTTTGCTTTATTATCAAGTAATTAATTTAATACAGTATCATAACCAAACGTCTAAAGTTTGAGTAAAGTATCAACTTCTCCTTCAACCTTTCAAAAATAACATCTTCAACTTTCTAATTGTAGCTGATTAGATAACTAATCGAGATCCACAATTACCATCACTCCAAATTTTTTACGTTTTGTTGTCATTTTTACAGTAATTTTTACCAGAGTCTAAGAAATAATATTAACATAGGTTCACGTCAGGATCAGGATTCTTGTTTTATCATTTTTTATTGAAAATTAATTTATATAACTTTCTCAGTGCCTTCCTCACTGCTGGCAACTGAACTATAAAGTTGGCATTAATTTGCATCAGCTATCAGCAAATCGCCAAGTTCCCTATAAATTGCATGCTCTAGGAAAGCACGAAGACACAACTTCTGAGCTTTAAGTGAGCTAAATTTATTGAGAATGATGGATGAGATTTGTAATTTCATATATAGATTGAAACCGGCTTTCTTTATGGTAGTGGTTCAAGTGGCATATGCTGTTGTCAATGTTTTGTATAAACTTGCAGCTAATGATGGAATGAGCTTGAGTGTTATTGTTGCTTATCGATTCATTTTTGCCACCGTTTTTACGGTCCCTCTTGCTCTTATTCTCGAAAGGTTTGCTCATTTTCTTTTCATATGTATCAATCTCTTCTTTCTTTCCATGTTTTATTTATCAATAATACTACACTTATAAACAATTCTCATTAACTTTCTTCAATCAAGACTTTTGCAGGATTGTAATGGTTTTTATAATATTTTTTTCGCAGGAATAGCAGACCAAAACTTACTTGGACGATACTCTTTCAAGCTTTTCTTTGTAGCTTAATTGGGTAAGTTTAAAATCTTAAATAATAATAATAATAATGATAATAATAAACTTGACTATTTCTAGGTTTCTCATGCATCTAATGCTTGAATCGTAGGGGATCACTACATCAACATTTGTACTTGACGGGCTTGGCCTTCACAACTGCAACGTTTGCCACGGCCATGAACAATCTCATTCCAGCCATCACTTTCTTTTTGGCTTTTTCTTCCGGGTAGGCGGGTACTAATCACCATTAATCTTTTTTATCTCCTTAAATAAAATTATTATATAACGTGTTATACAAGTCCAGTTACATTCAAGTTTTTTTTTATGCAAACAAATAGGACATTACTGTCATATTATTACATCATTTATCATTATTTAACGGAACATTTATTAACTTTTTTTCTTTATTTGCTCTCTTCCTTTATTTTATGTCATATCAATTTGTATATAACATTTCTTCATGTAGCATTAAACTTATACATTACATCCACTTTCCATACAGTAATTCATGTTGTTAACATATTTAGAATATAAAACATATAATTTAAAATAATAATAATATTAATATTAATAATGGAAATCAATGTTGCTTATTATATTCATCAACGCAATGGTTAATCTGGGTTTGTGGTTGCGAATATATCAGACTAGAGAAGGTGGGAATAAGGACATTGGCTGGAAAAGCAAAAGTGTTGGGAACATTTATTGGAATAGGTGGGGCGATGCTCCTCACTTTCTACAAGGGAGTTGAGATTAAAATCTGGTCTACAAATATTAACATTCTGCATCATGCCGCCACACAGCATACCGAATCTAATAAATTCCTCTTTGGATGTTTATTGGTTCTCGCTAGTTGCTTCACTTACGCTTCCTGGTTGATCATTCAGGTCTTTAATTTTAAATTTGGTTAACCACATATATAGGCTAAAGGTATTAAGAATTATTGATTTATATTTACCTTCAATATTTACAGGCTAAAATGAGTGAGCAATACCCTTGTCACTACTCAACCACAGCTCTGGTGTCTCTAATGGCAGCAATAGAGTCGGTTGTGTTTGCCCTTTTCAGGGAAACAGATTGGAAAGTGGAAGTTGGGCTTCAATATTAGGCTTCTTACGTTGCTTATACGTATGTTCTCTTTTTCAACATAGCTGACAAAAATATCGTCTTCTTCTATTAGTAGTTGATTATGTAATGTTTTTAATGTATTTGTTGCAGGGAATGTTTCTTCTGGTTTGTTGATGACCTTGATATTCTGGTGTGTGCGTGAAGGGGCCTTTATTTGTATCTTCCTTCAACCTCTTATGCTTGTGGTAGTAGCCTTTCTTGGTTCGTTAATACTGAACGAGACCCTTCACTTGGGCAGGTATTTGTCAATTACCCCTCTAAGAAAGAAGCTTAATTATCTTTTGAATGAATAATCAACCTCTTTGAACATTATAGATAAATTAGTGCATAAAGTGGCATCTTTATTCCTAAAAGGGATTTCATTTTCTCCTATGTGAGATCGCTTAATATTTAACTCATTTATTATTTTAAAAAATTATGATATTTTATAAGGATTGGTAATAATTTTTAGGGGATTTTGTAATTATGAAAGGGTTTATATTTTCTAAAGGAAACCGATGAGTTAGTACTAAGTGATCTCACATAAGGGAAAATGAAATGAACCTATACCTAGAAAGTCCTTTTAAAGGTAGCTATGCACCTTCATGACAGTTCTATGATGCCATTTTCTCAAAAAAAAAAAAAAAAAAAAAAGTAATAAATAATAATTTGATATGAGAAGAATTTATATGCTAGTAATAATAATGTGAAACATTTCCTTGAAGATAAATAATATCTTTTAGTCATATGGAAGAGATATCTTTGGGGTAACTTGAAGAATTTGATTTTCTTTATTTTTTCCAGGAAAAATATGTAAGATTTAAGAGTAATTAATTCACAAATTATTTCAGTATATTAGGTTCAACCATGATCGCCTGTGGACTTTATGCGGTGCTGTGGGGTAAAGGTAAGGAGATGAAGAAAATTACTCAGTTGGTGCCGACCAAAAGCTCTGCAGAATTTCAGACGATTGATATAATTCAGTTGGTGTCATCTAAAAGATCTGGAGATTCTCAATCAACTGAGATTGTTATGGACTCTCCAATTGATTACACTTCCAACAAAAATAAATACAACAATAACATCAATTAACATCAAGGATTGATATTCATTGATTGATGCGGGAAATATTTATTGTTATGAGCTATTTTTAGGATTTATATTTTTGTCTTTACAAATTATTATTATTTTTATCTTGATTTAGGATAATAATTAGACTTATTATTTCATAAGAATTATCATGTATTATTCGATCATCATACCCTTACACTTTCTCATTTTAATAAATAAGTTGTATTATTTCAATATCAATCAATGGATTAATAATTATTTACTATTATGATCCTTTGTATGTGTATACTCGTGGATTTGACTTATTTGAGTAAGAATGACAAAATACAACCCAACCCGCATTAATTTCAACCTAGCCCAACCCAGCCTAATATTAAAAATTTTAACAATAGGTTGGGCTGGATAAATTTTTATGGAAGTTATTTAAGGCCCACTAAAACTCTATTTACACTCTATTACTAGAAAATTTTGACTCTATTTGGTTCACAATTTTATGTTTTTGAGAAAAGTTTTTTGAAAAAAAGTTAAAAAAAAGTTGAGTTGGGCAGGTATTACGATGTAGGATTTATAAATTATAAATTACCCCATATGTTTGCTTTTTTACAAAATACCCCCTATAATAAAATATTAAAAGTTAACAAAAACACCGCCAACCCACCCTCAAATACAGACAGCCGGCCACCACCGCCGGAGGGTGACCGGAGTCACCATATCAACGCATGATCGGCTGGATCTTGCCGGTCGTGCACCGATATGGCTTTTTTCCGACCAGATCTACGGCTAGATCTGGCCATTGATGGCCAGATTTGACCGTATTTGCTCGTCAACTACGGCCAACAAACGGTCGTCGTTGATGGTCAACGATGACCGTTTGTTCGCCGTCGTTACCGACTAGTTACGACCAAAGATCTGGCCGTCAACGGCTAGATCTTTGGCCTTAAATCTGGCCTTTTCTGGCCAGATCCACCGTGGATCTGGCCAGAAAAGACTAGATCAGCGCACTACCGGCCAGATTCAACCGGTAGTGCACCATCCTACCAGATTCTGACCATTTTTCGGCAGTGGTGGCCGGAATCTGGTAAATGTGGATTGTTAGGGTGTTTTTGCAATTTTTTAAAAAATATTTAGGGGTATTTAATTAAATTTACAAATTTAGGAGGTTTAAAAAAAGTTGAATAATATTGTGAGTTTTTGGGTATTTTACTGTTTAACTTTTTTGGGAATACTAAAAGTAATATTCCCAAAATGCAACCAAACGAAGCCTTTATTGTACATACAAAAATAACAAAAAGGACCATTCAATAAAAACATTTTAACTTTTTATTCAAGTTTTTGAAACTTTTAAACATCATGCAATTCTAAGATTATGTTGGATGAAAATAAAAGCCGAATCTATTAATGGGTCATAAATCCCATAAGTCCAACACACAAAAACCCAAACATGCCAATCCAAATGAAAACCCAAAGAAGTAGAGAGAGGGGAAGTAATTAAACAAACCTATAAAACGGTGTTTGGTTCATGAAATGTTGTATTATTTAGAATGTTATATTAATGGAAAGATATATTATCTTGAAAATTATTGAGAATGTTATATTTTATATATTTAGTTAGATTGAAATAAATTGGTGGGTATAAATAATTAATATGTTTGGTTGTGAGGAATAAAAGAATTATGGGAAAAGCATTTTATTGAATTGCCCTTCTTTTTATTATTATTATTATTATTAATATTTGGATTATTCTTTTAACCTCTTACATTTAAGAATTTAGCTAAAACACCCCAACCACAATAAAAGTTTAAAATTTAACAAAATACCCGTAGCCATCTAAGACCATAGTCGGCCACCGACCCTTACCACACCAACCCTCGCATCCTTTGGCCGCCAGCGGGTGACCCTTCGCCTTCCCCCATCGCCAATCGTCCTCTCCATCTCCTCCATGCTGATGTGACAATTTGTCTCCCTATAACAACTCCATTCTCATAAAAATATGCATAGTAAAAGTACATGTAAAATAACATAAAAAGTTGGGCCCAAAATTTTCTTTTATTAAACATATGTATTCTTTATACAAATATATACAAGATTTGTATCATATGCAAAACTATCAAAATAAGGTGGACAGTGTAGCCATTTCTCTTCGTGTGCCGATGTCCATCCGACTGTGTCCTCATCTAGAACCTGCAAAAACATAGGGAACAACGGGATGAGCACAAAACAATGCTCAGTAAGTAAACCCTCTACTCAAATATCCCCGTAACTCTCTCTCTAATTCTTTCCCTACCATTTTTATTGACTCTTTCTCTTATACAACTCTCTATTTTCTCTTTCTCATAACTCTTTTCTACTAACTCTCTTTCTAGTAAGTCACGGCCCCATCTGACCGGAGGCACGGCTGGGACTCGCTCCCACTCCTTGTGATTCCTACTCATTTTAACCGATCGGACTTGGTTATGCATGGATTCGGAACCTTTGGCCATGTGAGTGCATAGAATCTCTCAGGTAAACTCGGGTATAGCCCTCATCAGCATGTACTCTACAGGCTACACCACTTCTCTCTCTGATACTCATGCCGCTCTCTCAATGCGGCGTACATGCGGGAATACACTACCCGTACTCACAGGTTCCCCATCGCACAACCTACTCTATTCTCTTGTTTAGCACTACTCTAGCTTTTACTCTATAGTGCTCATTCTCTCTTTCTCTTTACTCTTAGAGTAGTTTAAACTCAAAAGTCTCTACTCTTTCTCTACTCTCTTTTCTAGTGCATAAATAAAGCATAGTTAATGCACATAAATGACTCATACTCATTAATGCATTTATGAAATGCAATTATGACATGTAGCAACAATTAAGGCTTTCTACTCTTACTTATGCTTCTCTTGAGCATTTCATCATACAACTCATGTGCATATAAAACTCTACTCTAACTCTAACTTTTCTCTTTTCTTTAATCATCCAAATGGGAGGAAACTCCCTCATAAACTCTAAATTTCCTGTCAAAAGAAAAGACACTTCCATAAGCTTGCTCAAAACTTCCTCCAACTTCAATCAAACTCAACCCAATATCAAGCAAATAAAACACTTCTCATAACTCAATTTATGTGTATTACTCATTCATAACTACTAATCTCATTCATCTCATTTCAACAAACCTAATGAATACACATATATATATATAACTCTACTCAAAAGAGTTCTTAAATCTCAACTTAGGTTGAATTTACTTACCTTATGAGGAAATAGCTTCTTTAACACTTCTCCTTTCCTTTGGGAGCTTGCCTTCTCTCTACAACTTTAACCAACAACAACAACAACATGAGACTCTAATCAAAACATAATAAAACTCTCATCTAAAGCAAGAATCCTTACCTTAGGATGCTTTAGATTAAAACCCTACTAAAAGTTACTCAAAAAGCTCTTGGAAATCCTTGGAAGATTGAAGGAATTTGAAAGAATTTGGAGAATGGAGGAGGCGGTGGAATGGGAAAATGAAAAGTTCTCAAAGACTAAACCCCCTTAAATATCTCCTAACAAACTCATTCTTCCCATTTTGCCCTTGCTCTTTCTTGGAAATTCCATCCATATCGTTTGGTTCCTTACAAACACACCCCCATACTAACATATTCTCCATGAAATTTCCTTACATTTTACTCCCCACTTTTCCTGCTAATTAGGGGTAAAATGGTCAAATAGTACCCAAGGGAAAAATATCTAAAACTCAATAAACTTTTCAACTGGAACGTCGCCGCGGCGAAACTGTCCAGCAGCTTCCTCGTGGCTTCAACACCTCTTCGCCGCAGCGAAGATTATCCTTCGCCCCGGCGAGACCTGTAACAGTAAAAACCTTCTAATTTTGACTCAATTCAAGGCAAAAACTCAACATATCAATACAACCAAAGACCAACCCACCACTATTCATAAAAACCG